ATAAGTCAATGGGGAAAATATTATTGGGTGAGGATTAACCAAAAAGAGAGGGGGCCTGTTTGATCACTCTTTTCAGCTCAAAAGTTCTAAGTCCAGCGTCATTCGCTTTCTTCAGAGAGTTGTTTTCAACACAACACACCAACGCCAGACAGGAACCTCCTTCCCAGGACAGGAATACATCTGAAGACAGAGTCAGCGATGAGTGGGATTGGGAAGCGAATATGAAAAGAGATGGTTACCACGATCTGAAAATAGTCACTAGGAATGACTACGTCTCCGTTCTTTATCCAGTTCACGGTGGGCACCGGCTTTCCCGAGACCGCACACTCGAACTCGATGTCCATGCTCTCGTAGGCGTAGAGGTTGGAGGGGTGATTTAGGAACCAGGGCGGGACTGCGGAGACAGGGAACACAAGTGAGTGGCCCGAGGTGCGAATTTGCATGGAATGTTTGCACTGAGTTAAAAACACTGCTCTGGGATAGGAAATATTTGTAATTCAAATAATTCCCCTAAACCCTTAGTTTGTTATAGAAGAACTACTTTAGAACACATCTATTTATCTATTTCCTTCTCCTCTCACCCCCTCCCCATGACCAAATGCAGTTAAACAGCTTCAGTTCATGGTGTTTTACCAGAAGAAAAATAGAGAGAGAGAGAGAGAGAGAAAGAGGGAAAAAACACTAAGAGGAGACCCTGGCCAAAACACACAGTGCCAAGAAGGTGAGCAAACACACCAAGAACAGCATGCCACACATGCCAGTTCCCCCGAAACAGCAAGGATGGACCGGCTCCCAATTTTGGAAAAAAAATTACACAGAATAAACATTGTGAATATCCAAGTAATGGTATCCAATTGACCTGCCCTGAAAAAGAACATAAAACTATGAAAACTATACTATTGATAAAGTAAATAAATGCTGGGGTCCAACCCCAGCGGGTCCAGGGGCCTGAGCATAGAAGAAGCAGCGTCCTGCCCCTGTAATTCCAGAGTTTCATTAGGATTTAGTTAATGGGATAGACTCAGGCCCTGTTGACATTGGCTGTAGTAACAGGGTACAAAAAATGACTGTCCCTTCTATGGTGGACACATTCCTATTGTCCTAGCAATTTGTATTATCATTTTCTCAGCATGGTATGTGATATCCTAGTGTGATTTAATGTCTTAATTATCATAATGTTAGTAATTCTGTAATAGAAATTTGCAGCTGAAAGAAATTTACAAATATAATGTAACACACCCTTGCTGATGAATCTCCTAGGTTTGGACCCTCAAAACTCTGCCTGAGAGAGGAAGATTTTAAAAAGCAACCTTCATCCTCTTCCACTGGGATCTTAAAGTGATGTCAGAATGGAATATGCATATTCACCCAGGTTATATGCACAGCCCAGTAGCAGCCTTGATCTCCTTTCCACTGAGGACATAAATATGCATTTTTAGTAACCATATATAAAGTTAGCTTGTATTTTTTGTCATTCTTGTTCTCATGCTCAGTAAATAAGGAGTACTAATTTTTGTTCCTTTGAGTAACCACCATATTTTGCTCTTTCCAACCACAATCAGCAAAAACCCTTGATGTCAAAGTGAATTTACAATCGTTGATGGGAGAGCTAGTAGGAAGCTCCCAGGATTCAAGTTCTAGTGTTTCTACTTAATGATTTTGAAAATCTCAATCACAATTCTCTCTCTCTCTCCCTCCTTCCCTCCCTCCCTCCCTCCCTCCCCCTTCATTCTTCCTTCCTCCCTCCTGACATGTCTTATTTCCCTAAATTTTAATTAAATATTTGGACC